AATTGATGAAATATGGGTTAAATTATGGTTTTATAAAATTTTAGAGGTTGTTAGAATATTTTGAAAGAATACAAGGGTCTTCTTGCAATTTTCTCAAAGAAAAATCCCAAATTCAACCGTTGACCGTTACTACTTAACGGTCAAACAGATGGAGGGACTAAATGTGTTAAAATGTGACGACATTAGTGTGTATTTTGTTGACGGCGGTAAATGGGGGACCAAAAGTGAAAAACGTGCAAACTTGGGGGATCAAAACTGTAATTATCCCCTCAAACTATAGAGTGCTTTAAAAATAAAAAATAAATAAATAAGTTAATTGGCGGCAGATATATGCAAGCCCACAAATTTCTTTGTACAAGACCACCAACGTAAAATACTAATTTACCACTAATGAAATTCAAGACCAAATTAACACAACTGAAAAAAAGGAAAAAAAAAAACTCATTTCCTCTGTGCAAGTCCAAATAAAATAAACCTACAAACACACCCATTATTTCACAATTTAAGAATCTCCTTCTTCTTCTTCTCCTCCTTCTTTACAAATCACCAAGAAACCTAAACATCAAAACAATGAAATAATCACCAAACATTCCCAATGGAGTTGGAAAACAAGGAGATGGTGGTTTATGAGGGTGAAAAACGTAATAAGATATGTGTTAGCCGTTTATTTTATTTTGTGTGTCGGTTTTTTTTTTTGAAAAACAAAAGCCGATACCAAAAATTGGTATTCACAGCCCAATTTTTTGAAAAATAATCGGTATACACATGCCGGGTTTCACAAACAAAAATCGATAGTTCAATGCCAATTTTTCCAAAAATAATCCTTCTTAATATGCCGACTTTTTCAAAAAAATCGGTGCGTACACGCCGATTTCCCAGATTCGATTTCAATCTCAAAATTTAATCCTAAATCGACCAAAAAATTGCAACCCAACAAGAAATAACCATCAATTAATGTTCACCACGCATATTTAGTAAGGAATCAATGCTCGTTTTCAAGAAATCAATGCTCGATTAATGTTTTCGAATCTACCAACAAAAAGTTTAGTATAAAAAGTGGTGGATTGGTGGTGGTGGAGGGGTGGTGGTGTGCAAGTGGGTTGTATGTCGGCATCGAGGAGGTGGTGCGGCGGCGGCAGGTCGGACATTTTTTTATTTTGTTTTGTTTTCTTTTCTTGGTTGGTCTTGAACAAGTTAAAAATAGGAATATAGGGTTTGTGTTTGTATTTTGGTAGTATTTGTGGATGAGGGCATATTCATCCTCTTTGGTCTTGATATAAGAAAATTATATAAATTTGTGGGCTTGAACTAAGGAACCCTTTTACGTGTGTTTGAACGAGTGTTCTAAAAATCGGCCGAGGCGACCGATTAATCGGTCTCCGAGGGGGAGGCGGTCCCAAACCTTTACGATTTTAGTGTAAATGTTTGAAAAATCGGTTTTTTTCCTGTGACGCGGTTTTAGGCGGTCTGAGGCGGTCGAGTCAGTCAAACCTTTAAGGCGGGCCAAACGCGGTCGCAAAAATCGGCCAAAAATTGGTTTTTTTTTTTCAAAATAAAAGTTGGGATTTTAATTAAAAAAAATGAGTTTATGCTTTATTTTGTTTATGTTAACCGTTATTGTTAAAGAACTAATGATGTATGCCAGAAATGTTCAAGAATGAATGTAAATTAAAAAAAAAAATGCATTTTTATTTATAATTTATAAGGATATTTATGTATTATCATCTTATTATTATTAAACTGTTATAATGTTAGTAGGATATGTATACATGATGGAGATGTAACTATGTTCAATTATCTTTTTATATATGTTTTGAGCATTTATAAATAATACCTAGATATATATTATATAAAATTTTAAAAGTTGATTTATTTTCGATTTATCACCAATTAATCACCGCCGCTCCAATTAATCGTGAATCTTGTCTGACCGCCTCTGACCCGATTACCACTTTTTACAACCTTAGTTTGAACAAAGAAAAAATGGGGCTTCCATATATCCGCCGCCAAGTTAATTCCATCATCTCTTACAATTAGGAATTTGCATCGAGCTTTGCACATTGGCCCTACCACTGCCTTCCGTGCCGCATCCATCCACTCTTCGGCATCCAATGAAACCTTGAATATGGCTCTGATTAAAACTAGTACTTCACCCGTGCGTTGTACGGAGGTCAGTTTCAGAATGGAAAGAAAATGACATTTCACCCGTGCATTGTATAGATGTCAGTTTCAAAATGAAAAAAAAAAAATTAACAAATATCATGCAAGTGTCTATCTCTTTGTAACAAATCTAATTCAAATAAAGAAACACGAAAAGCAAAACTCGTGTATAATACTGAAATGTTATTAACGGCGTCCAATCCATGATGTAGACGTATACGCCACTACCGTGACAGAACGATGTGGTGAACACGAAAGAAGAATACCCTATATATCAGTATGACCAGGCTCAGTATCGACAAGAATTCTTGATGCCTCTTTTTTTTTTTTTTTTTTTTTTTTTTTTTCTTTTTTTTTTTTTTTCTTTTT